CCTTTTTTAGCAGTGCAGGCATCACACCGACGGCAGTAGGACTCCACATCCCTACGGCAGGGGGGGCAATAGAACTCTTGCCGAACTCGTTTTAATGTTTTGTTTTCTCCTAAATGTCCTACGCCCGGCTGTCCATGCATTGCTTCCAGGACCAGGCGGTGACAGGACTTCGGTACTACTGTCTGCCACTTGGTTATGCCCGTCACAGGTTCCACGAATCCTCTCTGTAACACTCCCAAAATCAATGCCAGGCCATCCCGCATAGACCACAGACCCCTCACCACTGATCCAAAAGCCATGACCTCTTCCCACGTAGGCCTCCTTCCAGCTTCCACCCAGTCGATGACTACCTGGAGCTCGGGGTCCTTACGCTGTTCAATGGCCCATGCTACATTTGAATCAGGCAGCACTGCACAACAAGACGCCTCCATCCCCATCTCTGGGGTCTTGTCAGCCGGTCCCTGCATCACATATCCAGCCAGTCGCTCACATTGTGGGCAGGATGCCATACAGGTGCGCCTTGATAACCCGTCCGCATTCTGGTGACTCTTGCCCTTGCGATGCTGAATGGTGAATTGAAACTCCTGCAGGCATTCTGTCCACCGTGCCACCTGTCCCTCTGGCTCCCGGAAAGACAACAGCCAATGCAGAGAAGCATGATCTGTTCGTATCACAAAGTGAAGACCGCAGAGGTGATGCCTGAAATGGCTGACTGCCTCCACCACGGCTAAAGGTTCATGTCAGGTCACACAGTAATTACGTTCTGCCCTGTTGAAGGCCCGACTGTAGTAGGCAATGAGCCTCTCTCCCTTTTCCACCTCCTGGGAGAGAACCGCACCCAGACCTACGTTGATGAATGGTAATCTAGGGTCTGGGGCGGCCAAGACTGGTGCAAGACACAAAGCCTCCTTCAGGCTTTCAAAAGTCTGCTGCTGTTCTTGTCCACATTGGAACCACTGTGATTTCTTTGTTAACTCATTGAGGGGAGCGGCAACAGTTGCAAACCCAGGGACGAATTTCCGATAATACGATGCTAGTCCTAAGAAAGCCCGCAACTGCCTAAGGTTGCATGGGACTGGCCAATCCCGAACAGCTGCCGTCTTCTGATCATCAGTAGCCACGCCCCAATTTCAGACAGCTACGGTTTTTGCTAGACCCCCGTTCAGCCATGAATGTGACGGACTGCGATGGAAGGTTAGAAAAGGAGCAGCAGGTGAGTATGGGTTCGTTGGCTGGGGACTCCAGGAGCCAGCGGTGAGAGGCAGCTGAAGCGGTTGGATACATGCCCAATTCTGGCTGCGTTTCCATCGTTTGTTTCATATTACTCATCATTGACAAATTAGAGTGCTTGTGGACACAGCTCATTTGGTAGGGGGGGTTATATGGCAATGTGGTTGACCACTGAGCGTGGTAAGAGGGGGCAACTGAATAAGGTTTATTACCCTTTTCTGATAAACCCAATGGGTTAGCGCGACTGGCAACTGAGTTCGGGGAGCCATGGCGGAGCAGGCAGACTAGAAAGCCGGATCCCTCTCTGGGCTAAACTCAGGAACTGGAACCCTCTCTGGGCTAAACTCTGGGACTGGAACCCTCTCTGGGCTAAACTCGGGGACAGGAGCCCTCCGTGGGCTGGATTCGGGGGCTGCAGCCGACACTGGAGCGAGCTCTGAGGCTGGAGCCGACACTGGAGCGAGCGCTGGGGCTGGAACCGACACTGGAGCGAGCTCTGGGGCTGGAGCCGACACTGGAGCGAGCTCTGGGGCTAGGCGCACTCGGGCGAGGAAGAGGGCCCTGAGCCGTCCATTTCTCCTCTTCCTCCTTTGCTGACTATGGGTGAATAGGGCGGCCGGCGGGCTTGAGAATGCCACGGCCGGCAGGCTAGACATCAGCGTGGCCGGCGGGCTTGACTGAGGAACGGCCGGCGGGCTGGAGAGTGCCACGGCTGGTGGGCTTGACTGAAGAACGGCCGGGGGGCTGGAGGGAGACGGCGGGGTGAAAGGCGACTTGACACTGTAGCAGCCGGTGGGCTTGAGTATGCCGTGGCTGGCAGACTTGACTGAGAAACGGCCGGCGGGCTTGACTTCAGAGCAGCCGGTGGGCTTGAGAATGTCGCGGCCGGCGGGCTTTTTCTGGATCGGGGCTGGACACTCTCCAGACACCGGAGGATCCCTTCCCTCCAGCTCAGTCCTGTGGTGTCTGGGAGGTCTACGGGGCAATAGCAATTGGCCTCGATCCTGAACAGAGAGTTGAGCGTGGTGTCATCATCTAAAGCCGTCGCTGCGGCGAGCCCGCAGAACTCCCAGGCATACTCGATGAAGGGGAGATCCTTTCGGGCTATGGCGATGAATCGAGCGGCGATTTCCATGATGCGGGGAGAAACAAACGGGAAAACAAAAACGTTGCACTACTGTGAGGAGCACGGAGACAAAGGAGCGAGGAGACGAGGAGTGGAATTCAAACATATAGATTTTAATAACATCCAGGGAACAAGGAAAACACACATAGCAAGGGTAGACATCTACAATTCCGGACAAGGGAGAACAGAACGGGCTAGAACTCAAATAGGGCAGATAACATATATATATATATATATATATATGTATTTCTGTCATGAAAACTCTCAGAGGGATTGGCATGGTAATGTACACGGCAATGTTAATGTATTTGGTCTTGGCGGAATAGATCTGCTACGCGTGGAATTCAAACATATAGATTTTAATAACATCCAGGGAACAAGGAAAATGCACGTAGCAAGGGTAGACATATACAATTCCGGACGAAGGAGAACAGAACGGGCTAGAACTAAATAGGGCAGATAACGAGAGGCAGACAGGTGAGGAGGATAACTAATAACAAGGAACAACTGGAGCTAATAGAATAAATGGGGACAGGAACAGGAAGGACCAAATAAGGACAAAAACATAACCTGGAGCACGTGGGGGAAGAAAACACACACAGACACGGAACAGAGTCTGACACATACAGTGGGCATTGTACAGACCAGGTTTATCCCTCACAGCCTCATTTTCATCCAAGAAAAAATTCAAAATGCCCTGTCTAAGGGGTCCGTGTACTTTGACGTCCATTCATTTTTCTTTTTTCTTTTTTTAACCCAGAAATTAAAATGCAGTTTCTTCTTTATTGGTTCAAACACTGATGAATAGAATAAGCAGACACAAACTAATTTTGATTATTCAAAATTCATATTTCATTCAAAATTGTCAAAAATGATATAAAGCTTGTTTTTTATCGAGATAAAAGGTGCATTTTCTGCTCTTAATGTTCCATTCGCCAAGATACTTACTCCTTTACCCCCACCCTTGAATTTATATATATATATATATATATATATATATATATATGTATTTCTGTCATGAAAACTCTCAGAGGGATTGGCATGGTAATGTACACGGCAATGTTAATGTATTTGGTCTTGGCGGAATAGATCTGCTACGCTGCTGCTGCTGCTGTGGCAGAGCAAGTACCGAGACTTGCTACTGCCAATACATCCACATATACATATACAGCCTAATTTGCATAAATAATTTTCAATACTCACAGCACTACATCAGTGATAGCTAAGCTGAATTGCAAGTGGTTGGTGAATTTGACATTTTGACAGAAATATTTTGTGAAAAAGTGGAGAATTTGCTTTATAGAGGATTCAGATGATGTCTATGTATTGAGAACTGCCCTATCTGCCCTTAATCTGGAACCAAGCAGAGATATTGACTAACACAGGAAGTCATCCCTCCTTACACGTCTGACATTAGCCTTGTTTGTCTTTTACCATATGTTACCTACTCCAGAGATACAATATGTCAGCGACAAACATTGGGTCTTATTTTAAAACAGCAAACCATTAGCTGCTTATATTCTCCATTTAAAGATTTCTATTAAATTTTACTTAATAAATGGCAGTCGGTTAATTTATTGATCGATTTATTTTATTTTATTTTTCCTTGAAGAGTAAATTATTAATCTGTAATAGGAATGTGCAGAATAGCTAAACTAGACTTCTGATTACTATCTGAATTCCCAGGTCTAGTCATACATTTGCAGCATTTTGATTAATGTTGAACGCAATTATCCTCACTGAACTTGCAGGTCAAACATGCGGGTGGCTCAGCTGCCATGGGAATAGCACACATATACTTTATATAATCAACGTGAGAGAGGGAAGAGAAAGCTGGATAATTCGGATCTTATAGTAGAAGTCTGTAAAATGCTTATGTCAAGTAAAATTTTTACACCTTTACACCTGACATAATAATGCGCTGAACAGGGTTCAATTTCGTCATGCATTTGGACAGGTTGAAAATTCAAAGACAATAAACGTCTGATGGGTTATAATTGCTTGGAAAATCTAGTACAAAGATACTTATTACTTATCACTTATTACTGACTTGCCACTATTACTGATCACAGTTTCAGAGTCTTCCATGAGAACTGGTATTGGGGTGAAACTGCATCCCTGATGTGAAATTTAATAAATACAAATAACTTTTTTTCTGTTCTCCACATAAATATTTTATTTATCTTTCTAGATTTCTTTCATTTTTCGATGAGAATTCACTGGCCTTCTCACTTAATTCTGGTATGGAGGCCTGTCTTCACAGGAAAGCAACTGACTTGATAAATGCTAAATTGACTAGTAAAGGTGACTCTGAACCACAATTTCATTTACTCGGGGCTGTCCCATACATTAGTGCTCGTACACCTTCCTTTTTGACTAAAGTATTGTGTTATTTCTCCTTCCAGTCACTCTCATGTTACGTGTTCCCACTGATTCTCAAGAATACACTATCTGAGATGTATCAGGTAAAAGGCCTATGACTGAAAACAACCTTAGGTGGCCGATAATGCACTCATCTTACCTGATCCCAGGGACAGATGATTCCTCTCCCACTGGTTCTCAAGAATACACCATCTGAGATATATCAGGTAAAAAGCCCATGACTGACAACAACCTTATGTAGCCGATAACACACTAGTCTTACCTGATCCCAGGGACAGATGATTCCTCCAAAAAACATAAAGAGGTAACCCATGGCAACCAGGCAGGCCCAGATCACCAAAGAGAAAACTCGGAGCAGCTTCTTGAAGATGGACTCGATGCAGACCAGAACAAAGATTGTGAGGAAAATTGCCAGTGCAGTGGGGACAGTGATTACAAAGGCGATGTGATCCTCGATATCCTGCAGAGAGATTGCAGTGTTACAAAAAGAACTTTAATTGCACCTTCCAACTGCACCTGCACGACAGCCACTGGAAAATAGTTTATCAGATAAACTAGTGACTGCCAATTAACCCAAAGAACCCACAGACTCTTCTGTCAAACTGGGGAACTGAGCAGTGACCTTTGCTGGTTGATATAGGTTACACAATGCCCCTGTTACTATTATGCACAGTAGTTATAACAACAAATATAATGTGCAATTATAAGCAGTGCCACAAAATAATTACACATTAAGCATATTGTTATCATTTATTATTATTATAATACACATACCTTTCAGCATTGCACTACACTGGTAGTTACAGACATTTTGTATGGTAGCACTATTTCATTGTGGTCTCCCTTGGATTAACTGCTTTAGCTTGTATTGTTGTCATCAGTAAGTTGCTTTAGATCAGGGGTGTCAAGCTCAATTCCTGGAGGGCCAGAGCCCTGCAGAGTTTAGATTCAACTCTAATTAAACACACCTGGGCCCGTATTCACAAAACATTTTATCTTACCACTAAGAGTTCTCCTAAATAGCAGTAAACGTTTTTAGCTAAGAGTTTTCTCTTAAAACCTATTCACAAAGCTGCTTAGACAAACTTTTACTAAGGAATAAAGAGAAGTCTTAAGCTAAGAGTAAGGTTAGGGTTGACCTCGTTGCTATGGATGATGTCAGCATGCTTACTAACTATGCCCACAGTGATTGGCTGATAGTCTCTGTCAGAGATTTATTCATAGAAATATTTTAGAGTAAAGATAAAGGTTTAAAAATAAAAATGTTGCCACATTCAAATAAAGATTTTAAAAAGCAAGCTAAGTGTCACTAATTAAACAAGTATATGTTCAGCTAATTGTCAGCCTCTTACATGTATGCTTCTCATAATTAGTGAATATGCATATAATCAGCCTTTTAATTAACAGAGTAGAATAATAATGGCTGATAGTAAGACATGCAAACGTAAAAGAAAACCAAACTGGACACAAACACAGCTGTTACTTCTTGTCCAACTGGTTAATGAAAACAAGGACATAATCAAAGGAAAATTTGGAATTGGGATAACCTTCAAAACCGAAGGTGATACCTTTATAAAAGCTCATTATCATCAAATATTTCTAAAATGTTTATGTTCCGAAGCAGATTGCCGGCAATAGCCATTTTAGGAATAGTTTGTGGTTTGGTCTTAGTGACTTAGGAGTCCACTTCACTACTCCTAATGTTTCAGAGATTTAGGAGCTAGTTTTAGTGCTAAAATGCTTTGTGAAATACTTTTTGATCAAAAATTTAGGACTGACACGTCCATTATTTTTAAGATTTTCTCCTAAATCGGCGAGTTACGACTTACGAGCTACTTTTAGCCTTAAGATGTTTTGTGAATACGGGCCCTGATCCAACTAATCAAATCATTCAGGCTTATTTGAAAACTACATGGTATGTGTGTTGGAGCAGGGTTGGAACAAAACTCTGCAGGGCTCCGGCCCTCCAGGAATTGAGTTTGACACCCCTGCTTTAGATAAAAGCATCTCCTAAATCAGGTTTCAACAATTCTTAGTTCCATCTCAAATCAAACATACCATAATTTTATAATCCTGAAATGTTTGGTTTGATTTTGCAGGTGTGTTTGATTTGAGATTGGGAAAAATTATTCAGGATAGAGTTGGCCATCCTTATCCTAAATTAATAAATGTAAATCATTAGGTTTTATTATTTGGGAATAAAACAACAATACATGAACATCTAAAGCCATGTCTATAATCCTCAATGCTATTGTCTGGCACAATAATGTAATGTTCTGAATTATCTTCATTTGGTAGTTTTTCTCAGCAAATATAGCTAAATCCAATTAACTGATTCATTTGATTAATCAGCATATCATGTAATTAATTTGATAAAATTCAATGGATTGACTGTTTAACCCAAATTATTATATTTAAATAATATATGTACAATCAAACAAAAAAATACATACATACATCATTATATATATATATATATATTTTTTTTTTTTTTTTTTTTACCAAGTAAAAATTTCCTAAAGCAAGGTACAGCAAAGTTACAACGTACTGTAGTAATGTTAGGTAAACGTGCCTCTGATGACATTTTTGCGTTCCAAAAATGTAACATTACACATAGAGTTCACTGCAGTTCCCAGCTGCAATGAAAACAAGTGGAAGTACAATGTGAACAACTTTTATTCCTTTATACAAAAATTATTATCTCTTACTTTTAATTGGCTAAGATATCAAATACACTGCTGGACAATAACCACTAATTTGTATCAAACAATCTTTTTCCTGTAGCTTATTTTCCTAATGACAATTTTATGATTGGTTTACTGTATATACTACACTTTTTATGCTAAAACTTTTATTTCCAATTTTTAACATAGAATAAGGCAGAAAATATATTTTATAATTTCTATACTGTTTCATACACTTTATGTATTACCTGGAGATGACTTGAAAAACACACATAAACCATTTATTGTCACAATCGTGTGTTTTCATGTTTCAACAGCCAAAACGTTTTGTCGACATTAGGGATTTCCTGGCATGTGAAGTTGTTACTTCTATGAGTCTGGACTTTCTGCGTGAGAGCGCCCGCCGGCTTTGAGTATGAATGAAACATACACTGCATGAGAGCGTTTAGCGTTCCATAGTGATCACATCGTCTCATTTTGGATACCTATAAAATGTCAGGTCATGCATATCTTGTTTCTTTGAATTTAAATGTAGATTTATTTACACTGGCCCTTGAAAACCTCTAATCGAACACACTTGGGCAATATGACTATATAACGATGATAAATTATCCATTAACCATGGTTTTACTACAGATAAAACCAAAAAAAACATTGTTACTATATAGTTAAACTATGGCAACCACAAATTAACCATGGTTTTGCTACACTAACCATAGTTTAACCATAGTTTAAAACTGTGGTTATACAAATGGTAATCAATACGCCAAAAAACACAGTTACTACATGTTTACTATAATGAAACCATGGTTAATTGTTCTAAAGGTTTTAGCAGTTAAATCAGTACCACTTTAGTGAAGGACACATAATACTATGTGATGAATATCTGCAGCATCTCAGACACACGACTGAGTGATTTCTTATTATTATTATTATTAAAAATATATATATACATATTAGTCAGTTTTATTCTAAGCACATGTAAGCTGTTTTCCAAAAATCATTCATATAAAATGGTCAGCTTTTTCTTTGGTGATTTGTGTGTTTACATTGTGTGAGCGTGATCTAAAAAATGGCGACGTTACACAGAATGCAATGTGCCATGATGTAATTCCCATTCTCTATTTAAGGGGTTTTCAAACCTGTACTGGAGGATTCCCAGCACTGCTGGGGGAAAATGCAAAGCCTCGGAACACTTTTTTAAAAGTATTTTATTTTATTTTATTTTAAAGCATGAACCTTACTAAATGCTGTTAGATTTGAGCTGAACATGAGGGCTAGTTTACTTACTAGTTACTCCAAAAAAAGCTATTAATGAAATTTTTGCTGCTAAAACAACCTTCTTTGTACTGACAAGTTTTTATGACATTTATGATGTGGATTCTTTGGTAAAACAGTTGCAATACAACACAGGATTTGCAAATAAAGTTTCATAGAAAGATATGAACCCGACAATGTCACAATATATAATTGTTAATTTAGACATTCCTTGTTGCAAAATAGTTCATTGCTGTTTAGTCTATCAGTGACTTGAGTTCTGTACTACCAAAACTCACATTATAATTAATGACACTATCTATACTGCTCAGTGAATCTTCTATTTACATTGTGTTTGCACTGTATATGATGAAAGTATTGAGATTTTATTATTATTATTATTTCTAAATTATGACAGTTTTGATGTAAAAATTCATAACATACATAAGTGACATAAGTGCACCTCAGGAAGCATTGTAAAGTAAAATGAAAAACACAGTTATGCAGTCATGACTTCTTTAATGCAGTCCACATTATATGTACAGTCATGGCCAAAAGTTTTGGTAGTGACATAAATTGTGTTTTGCAAAGTTTGCTGCTTCAGTATTTGTAGATTATTTTTCCACGTTTCTATGGTATACTGAAAAACAATGATAAGCATAATCATAAGTTTTAAAGACTTTTATTGGCAAATAAATATATAATGAGTCAATATTTACAGTGTTGATCCTTGTTCTTAATAACCTCTGCAATTCGCTCTAGCATGCTGGATATTAGCTTCTGGGCCAAATCCTGACTGATGGAGATCCATTCTTGCCTTATTAGTTCTCGGAGTTGATCACAATTTGTGAGCTTCTGCTTTTCCTCTCTCCTTTTGAGGACTGACCACAGGTTCTCTTTGGGATTGAGATCCGGGGAGTTGCCTGGCCACGGATCCAAAATTTCAATGTAATGATCTTCGAGCCACTTCTTTATCACTCTTGCTTTGTGACATGGTGCTCCATCATGCTGGAAAATGCACGTTCTTGATGATCCGGTAAATGGTTCTTTCAGGTGCAATATTCTTTGTAGCAATTTCCTTGTATGTGAGGCAATTTTGATGCAAAGCGATGATGGCTGCATGTGTTTCTTTGGAGGTAACCATTGCTAACAAGAACACAGTGGTTGCATCTGAAATGGCATACTCAATGAATAGGTACTTAATTTCAAAAAGTACTTACTTAACGAGCGCTAAAAGAGTATGTACTCTGCAGCCAAATCTCGTTAAGTATGAATGCGATCCGGACATCATCCGCCATGTTGATGTTATCATGTGACTTACAGAGTAATAGCAAGTGCAGCAGTTTAAAAGATGTGAACATTTGGATTTAATTTTCTAATGTTATTAATTGCAATGTGTTCCAAGGTTTCTCGCTGTTTTTTAAGGATGCACTGTTTAGCTTCTTTAATATACAGAAAGCAAACTATTCCTGAGCAAGCTCTGCACTGGTGGTGACACATTTCCGTAGCTGACTTCCAT